TTGCCAAGGGCCCGACCAGGTGCTCAGAAGCATACGCACACACAGAATCTGCACAGATTCACATATCCGCAGCTACGGACACGAAACACATATGTGTGTCAGATCTAATAAGGATTCCCAGCTGTGGTAATTGCAGTACACAGATAGTGAGCTGATGAATTCTGCTGTAGGTTCCTGTGCCCTGCTGCAGAGAAAGGTTGTAATTTGTCTGACTCAGTGAAGAAAAAGGCCAGGACACTGTCTTCCCCGCATAATTCTCTGCCATCCGAACTGGAGCACGAATTACTTAAACAGGTTCTGGAGGTCAGGCCTCTTTCACATTAGCCTTTGGCATGGTCACTCAGCGGCTGGGTGGCAAGTTTAAGGAACAAGCTCCGGTGGGAACGACTAAGCTGCCCTCTTTTTTCCAGCTTAACATTCTGTCAATCTGTCGGTCTATCCTGGCTTTATCCCCCCATCTCTTTCCCTCACCACCAGCAGCTTTTCCCATGTTTCTCATTTCCCTCCTTTTCCCTCTTGTCTTCTCCCTTTTTGTGCAAACATGGTACAACAACTTACTCCTTGCTTGCTAAGGCAATGGAAAAAATCCAATAAACATAAGCCGCTGCTCCCCCTTGACTCGTCTCTGAGACGTTATTTAAGCGCGACACGTGGTCGATTTTTCCATTCCACCTAGATACCCTCTCCCTCCCCCCTCTCCAATATGGATTTGAGATGTTCGTGCCTTTTTTCCTTACCTCCTGATCCCCCAAGTTGGGAGAGAGAAGGGTAAATACGCAAAGGGTATGTGAATAATTCAAGGCGAACATTAAATGTCAGGGCTAAAAATTCACAATTTCCCTCTATTGTCTCGCTGGCATTCGCGGCATGTTTTATGCATTTTATAATTAGCGGGCAAGTCTCAGAGGAAAGGAGCGGGGCAGAAGGAGGCCTGGCAGTTATGGGGATTGCTTATTTCTGCGAGAGGTGGCGTTTTAAGAAGTTACAGAACTTAATTTGAAAGGCAAATCTCTAAGCTCCTTGGAGTGGAAAACCATTGCAGGAATATTCTGAATCAATATCACTTCTAACATGTATGAGCTGCCTCACATGTACTGTGTATATATATATACATGAGGAGGGGTGGCACTTCCTATGTTGTGTTTTATCTCATTTGCAACATGCCTACTGTATAACCTTGTATACTCTTGGAATTGAATGGTTGGGTTTTATAAATGGGAGGAGGGGTTGAAATGGAGAGAAAGAATGAAAGAAGAAGAAATGAGTGGGAAAAGATAGCAGAAAGAGAATGACTGAGAGACATGACTGGGTGACATACACGAGAGAGAGAAAAAATAGGGGTGGGAGAGGTCTTGTAAGATTGAGATGCAGAGGATAGAAAGAATGAGGAGAATTGAACTATGTATGGCACACACCAAGGTCTTTGCTCCAAACATTCCTCCTTTCCCTTTCCACTCTTACAGATTTCTACTCTCTATTATTTTTCCATCCTTTCATTCCTTTCCTCTCCTCATCTCCCCATGGCACTTTTCCCTTTACCACCGCATGCTTTCTCTCATCTTCTTTGGCTTTCACCCCTTCCGTTGTTCATCTCACATCCAATTTTTTCTGTAAAATATAGATTTATTGTGAGTTTCATAGGTACAGTGCATATAGTCTCATTCCAGTTCAGACATAAATGTTCTCAAATGCTCTCATACTCTGCAATGCTCTCAATAAGCAAATTAGATCACTGTAAAAATATATGTTGTGCTTAACTATGACGAGGCTACAAAAATATACTTTGATAGACATTACATACCATATGTCAGTATGTGTAAAACTGACATTACATGTTGATTGCTTTCTGCTTGGTTGGATTGCACTGCTCTCCAAAAGAGCTTGATGCAGGTGGGAGTAAAAAAAACAATCCATTTGATGACTCAAAGACTGAAGACCTACAGTTGCTACAGTATCTGACAGATGCTTTGAATCATTATATTTTAGGCTTTGTTGTTAGAGCATGTATAATTCGGAGAAAAACAATGGACGCTATGAATAGCCATGCTAATAAAAAATTGCCAAATTGCCGTTTTGTTTCAATTCATTCGTTCATGGTCAAGTTAGTTGATTTCTTGTTGGGAGGGGAGCTTGTGTTGTTTTGTGTTGTAGTGAGTGATGTATGTGTCCTTCAAACGTCGATACAGAAGCTGCTGTAGTGGCTGCTAGGAGCTGTAAATGTTTTTCACAAAGATTAAAGTTAATTCTGTAAGATTTTTTGTAGAGCTGCAATTACCTCACCCACGCTTAATAATGTAACTGGTAAGTTATAAAAAACAGATTTCTTTAAGCCGCCTACAAACCTGCGATTGGGTGACTGCATTTTATATACAATGTAGTTTAATATGAGTAAGAAGAAAAATAATATTTTCTTAAATAATCGCAAAAAACTGACTGATCAATAATTAAGGTAGGAGAGCTTGAACTTAGTTGTAGTTGAACTGAAATGGCATTTGGTTTTGATTGTCATTGCGTGTCGAGCTGAGCCTGTTGAACTCATTGCTCTGTCAATCTTAGTCATTCTAGGATGCAAGAAGGGTCAGATTTATTGGAATATAGCCTAACTTTTCATTGGTGACTGTCCATCCTGCCATTTCAGTTGCTGAACAAATCAGATGGCAAAATAATGACATTTTGTCTGTCAGAAGCAAAAGCCGATGTTGCGTGATGTTGATGTTGGCAGACTTACTTTTAGCCCTAAGTAGTGTTAGTTGCCTGAAGTTGGAGCAGATCAGGAAACATTCCTATTAATTGTTTCTGTAAAAGTTTTATTTGTAAGGAAAAATTACCTATTTGTAAATTGTTTGATGTATGAGGACTTTATGATAATTTACTATGCCCACATTAACATGGAAGAACATTTAGCAGCTTCGCCGGTTTATTTATCTTTGTCTCATGAACCTGTAAACAGTTTGTTTTCAGTATCACAGAAAACATTTTACAATCAGCACATTAAATAAGTTAAGGTAGTATTTTATAGTGTTCCAAAAATAGGCACTTTTCAGTCTTATTCCATAGTATATGATTTTGGCCCCTCCCATGACATAACACAAATAGAAATTAGATATCCGTCCAGCAGGCACATTTTTATTTTAGACCAGCTTTACCACTGGGCATTACAGTACACAAAACAACATCAGCATGCTATCCCATTCACCAAATTTTCATCCTGCCTTTAGTTGCATAAATACAATCATTTGACAGATGACTTTGCTAATTGGCTTTTCAAACTGCAGTAATCTCACAGTGCAGCAAGCGAAAATTAAAAATGCAGCCCCTGAGTATTGTTTTTTCATGTCTGAGCCTGCATTTATCCACCTGAAATTAATTCTCTAATTTGTTTGTAAGATAAATAGGGAATACTTAGCATCCCAATCCACTTAAAGCATCTTCTCCACTACTTTACATATCCGTTCTGAAATGCTGATTTGTCCCTGAAGACTCCACCCAGCAATCCTGCTAGTCATTAACAGTGAAATGAAGAGCAAGCCTCTACTTTTGTGAAGGGCACTGTAAAGTCTTTTCAAACTGTCACCTGAAGAAAGTGTTAATACAGTGCGTGTTTGTCTGCACTGACAACGTACAAGCAGTTTGATGCACCATGAGTTTGGTGTTAGACGATGAGAATTCACACTTCAGTTCTAATGTGATTTGTGATGATGTGTTTGGTGCGTGTTGCTAACACTCCTTGTCTGTATGGAGGCGGGTGATGACATCTTTGTCCATACACAAACAGCATTAAGAAACAGAGAGCCGTCAGTCGTGTCACTGTGGTGCCACTTTGCACATTCAACAGTGTGTTACAAGTGCTCCTTTTTCAATCATTCGGGAACTTTTAATTAAGTAATTTAATTTTGATCTCTAAAATCCATTTAGCATCATTGCAGACAGAGACATTGCAGTGCACCTCATACCAGTGCTAAACCATGAGGTTGGCTGAATTTTATTTGCCCTTCATTTGCAAAAACACATGCGATGTGACGCGACACACCGATGAGAAAATTAATTTGCATGCAAACTCATGTTTGGACAAAGACCGACAGTCCACCTGGCAGATATTAATACTCATTAATAATAATATAATAATAATAATAACTAACCACTGTTCATGACTGACAGACAGCTCACAGCTCTGGCCTGTAGAGACTAGGAAACAAACAATAATGCACATTTACGTGATGTTTACCTGTCACTGAAAGTGGAAAATTGAACACCAAGTTACCTTTACTCCTGCCATGCCTGGCAGTCATAGCTAAATGGATTTATTTCATGCTCATTGTGTACAGGCTTTGTAGGAAATATAGGAGATCACTAACTGAAGATTATGGAGTTTGTGAGACAGTATTTTGTATTTGTATGCTGTAATACACCACGTTTGCTGTGCATTTGGACTAACTTGATAAAACACAATGCATCAGATTTCATACGGCTAATAGAGACACACACACAGTATATGCGAGTACAGATAAGTGTACACAAAAGTGAATGAAATTCTGACATTCTGGATTTTATCCAGATATGAGACACTTGAAATGACAACCGTGCATGGGGCCCAAGACTCCATTTTAACAAGAAGCAGTGCCCTCATCAGTAAAATGTAATTTTTATGGCAACAAAATTTCTTTGGAGAAATGAAGGCAATATCCCTCTGACTTGTGCATCTAATTAAGTTCATGGTTTAATAACAATAATTATGTGTGTCTCTGACATGAAGAGAATACCTGTCATACGCACATTTAGAGCAGGCATGAAAACAATCAGTGCTGTGATTGATGTTAACTTGATAAATACCACTTTGAGGGACATTATGCTGCTTTCATAATGCTGGACTGTAATCAGAAATGTCCATCAATCACATTCAAAACTATTAATTAAGAGAAATTCCTTTTTCTACAATAAAAATGCATTTCTACCTCTCATCATGAAATTAAACCTACATTTTTCTGTGTCTCCTTGTTCAGTCCAGTGGGAGGTGACTGTGAGAAGAAATGCCGGTCCTAGGTGCCCTAGTACATCACCACCTGGACCATGGCGACTCCTTGGCCAATGAGAAGAGAGAGGTGCTCCCATGGCTCCTCCTGTCTTGTTAGATGGTCGGCGTCCTCCTTGATGCTCCTATGGTTGCCGTGGGTGTTGCTTTGGCTGCCGTGGCCCACCCGAGCTGAACAAGTGGGTGGCGGGGGACACGGTGGGAAGGCGCTCCACGGTTCCTTATCGTCCCCCTCTTCTTCTTCATCCTCGTCCTCCTCCTCCTCCTCCGCATCGTCCCCATCCAGCTCTTTGGCGTTGGGCTTTAGCACAGGCAGAGTGGGGGGCAGCTGGACTGGCTGCTGTCAGAGAAGGGACCTTTCCACAGATGTCCAGAGTACACAGAATTCAGAGAGAGGTTCCAGCAGGGATTTTCTACCAGATACAAGATTTACAGGTGAGATGGGTCTCCAGGTGTGTGTGTGTGTGTGTGTGTGTGTGTGTGTGTCAGAGAGAAGAAGACAGAAGGATATTGTGTGTAGCAGGATTTAGAAGATCAACAGGTGGAAGGAAAACACGGTGCTCTCACTTATAGGCTATTTGTAATAAGTGCTTCCCGACCTTTTTGGCTTGTGACCTCAGTGTTACTGCTGTGATTTATTGCTGCACTTTTATAATGAATTGAAGGGGTAGCAGTGATAATAACATTATATAAATACACAGAAACAAACACTATATGTGTCATTTTTGCTTTGCCTTTTGTATATACAGAGGTATTTTTCTGTTGTTTTTCATTTTTCAATAACTCAGCACTAACACTAGAATTCAATCAAGCCCCGTCTGTGGGCGCATGTAATGGAAAAAAAATGTATTACCTTTACTCAAAACATGTATTATTGTCAAACACAGTGCTCCTGTATTAAAAATCTCTGGATAGGGATAAAACTAATTCAAGCAGCAGTATTATGATTTGTGCAACGTTGGATCACGGAATTGTGGGACAGCAATATCTCATTTCTTTTCATTTCAGGTGATTGTTTTGTTTTCAATGCTAAAGGAGAAAGGAAAGGGAGAAGTGAATCTTTACATAGCATTTAGTGAATTCCACTTTCTTAGTTTATCTGTATATTTATAGGTTTGGATATTTCATTACAAAATTTGCCGTTTTGTGTGTTTATTTCTGGTGTAAATTCACTTTACAGTGCTCTTACACTGCTGCTGTGATTCATGAGATCCTTGCTAATTTCACTCATTACAGTGACTCTTTAAAGAGTTGAACCCTTTAAAGAGTGAATAAACAAGCATCAGAAAGAGTGGTAAATGTATTTTGTCTGGGAGATTAAAGTCAGAGCTTTAAATACTGATTCAGTGTAATCTGTGAATAGATACAAGAGGAGCTGTTGTTAATTGTGAACGACAGGCGCAGAATAGAGTGAACTGGTGTAGGTTGTGATTCTGTCATATTTTTCTTAAATCCCTCAGACTTTTTGCTGATTCTTTCTGTTCTAAATTGTGAGCTCAGCAGGATCAGGGGAAGCATGGTGCGGGGCTGAGAGTTGAAAGAGCATTTTATGAGCAAGCATTACAGCTCGTAATATGAAAAATATAGTAGATATTTATTATAGTCATAGACATATGACTGTCCATACATCCAGCTTTTACTTATCTCAGGTGAATGTAACTTTCAGATGTTATAGGATTATGTCTGTCTGACAGCTCATAACTCCAAACTCATAAAACAATCTCTTTTTAAATATTCATATTTCTCTAAAATATCAACTTGTGAAGAACTGCAACAATGAAAATTGTAGAATCACAGTTGCCATACTGCAATATCTTATCAGGAAAGATCAATAGATCACTCTCAACTGTGGATCTCTTGTTCTCAACCAGCTCTTGTATTAGTGCAAACAGATGCATATTATAATATTTTTGATATAATTAGTTGATAATATATTGATAAGGGAAATGCATTCTACTACTAGATACCGCAGCTCAGTAATTAATAAATAACACATATACTTATTAGAACTAATTGAACTAGTAATAGTTCAATTAGTTCTGTTATTAGTGTGTTACTTTTTTTTGCACTGTACATACAGTACACTGTTATACCCCCCTAAGCTGGCAAACTCTGTACCTGTGGGAACACTAGCACTTTCAGGCCATTTCCTTAAACATCTCCACGCACACACACTCACATGCCTGAACAAAGGAAAGCAGCTAAATGTCTTTATCTTTGTACTATTTTTATCGACAAACAACAAAACCGTGCGTCATCATCTTGGTCAGCACTCACACAGAAAATCTAGTGACTCTGAGTATTTTCTGGTTATACATCCATTCTGTCCCCTCCTGCTCACTGTGATCACTGTGTTTTAATTGAGCTAACCTGGCAGTTCAGTGTTTCTTCTTTACATATTTTTCTGTTTCTGTTTCCAGAGTAAAAAATAGGGATTTGATCATAGCCAGAGATGTTTTATAAGTTTAAGAATCCCCAGTATAACTCTATAGGGAGAGCCCATAACGCCAAAGATGGCGGTTTTCCCACCCCTCCCACTAGAAAGCTAATCATCTGCTTTTAACAGCGGAGGCGGGAAACTATTACTGAAAATATTTCAGCCAATTGTGTTATTCCACATGCATAGAAGTGTCAACAGTGGGGAAAATGCTTTTGAAACCTTTTTTTTATGGCAAGGACATCAAACTTTTTAATAAAAAACAGATTCTATAAACATGCAAATATGGTTCAGTTCGGAGGTTTACCTGCTGGATGCATGCTGTTTTCTACTTTGCTGAAAAGTAAATTTGCAGTGTACGTTGGAGGCTTTAGGTTTTAACACTAAATTTGCATACTGGACCACAATTGGCTGTCCATACTAGTTTTTAATATCACAACAGTAGTTACACATTTTAAACTCAGATTCAAGGTGAGCACAGAGAAACATCCAAGTGAAAAAAATAGGTTGTACTGACATTAAAATGAGTGATCACAGAGAGAAGTAGAGGCAATAGAAAGTTGTCTTCTTAACCTTTCCCGATCTTATTTGACTTTATTTTATCCCTTTTATTTTATTCTATTTTACTAATTTTATATTTATCTTAAATGTGTATTTTAGTCTTTTCAATGTTTTCATGCTTTTATCTTGTATTGTTTCTGTATTATTGTCTTTTGGGTATTATTGTCTTTACACTTGTTAAAGCACTTTGTAACTTGTTTTTGAAAAGTGCTCTACAAATAAAGGTTATTATTATTATATTATTATTAACTACATACAGCCCTTGACCAGGCTGAAACAACCACTCGGTAGAGCACTTTTGAAAAGCTACATTTCCAGGTTAGCGTGGACAAAAGACCAAGATACTGTAGTGAACAAGCCAGTGTGGGTTTGATTATTTTATATCAAAAAGGAGTAATCCAGAATCTCTCTTTGTCTCTCCCTGAGACGCAAGGAGGGGGGTTGAGATATCAACCCTGAACAGACAACTGAAGTACCCCAAAGGAGGGGGTGAAAGGTTTGCTCCACTCCCAAGTGCTGCTTGGGCAGTTTCAGCCATAAAACCTACCACTTCCGGTGAATTTGAGATAACAGACTCTATGCATGACTATTAAAATGACAATATTAACCTTGTCCAGAGACTAACCTCAACCTGAACCAGGCTGTGAGGACCTCAGCAGCCATAAACTAAACAACCTCTAAACACTCCCAAGACCAAGAGGGCAGGGTAACCATGGTAACGAAGTTCCTCTTTCAGATTACCTCAGACATTAAAGACCCCCTTCTTCAGTCTTGATTTCCTACCCCACCAAAGAGCCATTAATTTGGACTCTTAACATGCCCTCTCACTTTTCACATCTAGTTGTGAAGAAAGCCAGACGCCAGTGGAGGACGCTGCCCCGAATTCCTTTGTGTGGACAAATGAATACTGTCTCCTTATAAACTTGCCTATTACCTTGTTTAATTAAATAATCTTTAAGTTACTTAGTAGTTCTCGCCACTTCAATTTGAGAAGTTCTATTACCAATGTTCTTGTTAAAAGCTATGTTGGAAAGAAGGAACCACAAATAAGTGAATTTTGCAGTGCTCTTAATCTTTATCAATGCTCGCCAACATTTCTGCATTTAATTCATGTTGTAACTAATGCTTTGTTCCCAGCACCTTTATATACTCTCTTAGAAATTATATGATACAGAATTATTACGTGTTAAATAACCGATTTTCCTAACTCCTGAACCAAGGATTGAGTTAAATTTAAGTAAAATAGTCAGAGGGGATCCTTTGTTCCTCTCTTGGAACCAGTGCCCCCCAGAGGACAAATTAAGTATTACATGTCATTGTTTTAATGCCTCTCCCGCTGTTTAATGTCACTGTATTTTATTGTTCGAAATCTGATGCTATGTTCGTATAACTTGCTTATATATTTTCTAAGTAAGAACGTTTAACAGCCAATATTATCCAGGAAGTATTTAGTCAAGATTCTCTTTCATCTGCTGTGATCCCCACAAAATGTTTTAACTATTATGATTGACAATAACTTCCTTTCCTTTATCAAATGCTTAAAACTAAGCTACTGTTTGTTGCTCTTCGCTCTGCACGCTTACGGAGCGTGCTCCCTGTCCAAGCATGGGCAAGATTTCGGCCCGGCATTGTCCGTGAAATTTTCTTTGTCTTCTAGCAGTACTTATTACTTACTATATCCACGCGAAGCTTCACTGAATTTACTTTGTTTTGTTTTGTTTGTTAAGAGTTATCAGACCGCAAGTCAAGCAACTTTGAAGTCAGGAACAACCAAGCGTTATTTCAATTGAATTAACTTCTGCTGCTCTCACCGAAGTTCGGACTCAGCCACGTGGGTCCGTTATACCAGCAGTAATCCTGAGGACATCAAACCAACAAACTAAGCCTGGGCTGACCGCCCCTTAATGCGAGCGTTTTTCCCACGACTACCAGCCAGCCAAAGGACTCCGGATAATCCATCGGCCAAAACTCGACACACGAACGAGCTAAGCCGACAGTGAGCCTTTGTCAGACGGTGGATAAACTGAGAAACAACAAGCAGTAAGGCTTGAACAACCTACATTCTGTGGTTGAGATGATGTCCTTTATTTTTAATCCTTAATCATTTTAGCCTAAAACTCCTAGCCAAATTTAACTTAGCTATTATCATAACTTGAGTACATTAATTCTCTTTCTCTCTTAGACTCAAATCCTTTCACAATAGACCAACTAAACTCTCATTGAACTTCATCATTCTCATTGATTGCATTCTGTTTGTTTAATCCTTATTGTTGTATGTCTTTGATATATTTAAACTCACTTTGTATTCACCTTAGTTAGTTAATAAATTTCACCATAATCACAGGAACTGTGTGTGTGTACTGTTTAAATCCAAAGTCACTGGACGGAGGATTCACGACTTTGATTGAGATTGACTGATTAAATTTATAGAAATCAT